GGTTTCACACCTAATCATTTCAAGTTTCAAAACATTTTAACACTTTAAAAAAAGCTTTCTGCGGAATGGAATTTTCTAGAATTGGTTGAAAATGCATGATGTCATTTTACAGGAGAAGTAAAACAGACAGAGAGATAGGAGGTGAAACCTGAGTAGTTTCAATCTCTTGTTGACTCTAATCAAATTAAATGGATGGGTGAGATCTGATGCCTTTAAGATAAAGTGTGCGAAATGACACCTACAATAAAATTGTTCTCGTAGGTAGGTTTAACAGGATATGTGAAATCTCCTGTCCTAGAAACTGACGAAGAAGACAATGAAATAACTGGGCAATGCTCAATTAGGTTATAAGTACAGTTTATATAGTAAAACATGTTGCCAGACTTGTGAGTTATCATGCTCGTGGTACTTTTCTTAGCTCCCAGTATTGATTTGACTTATACTTCAGTTTGTTTAATCAATTATAGCATATTTAGTAACATGTGTTATAACTTACCTAAGACCTAAAGTAATATATGTTATAACCTACCTAATATCTAAGTAATATATGTTATAACCTACCTAATATCTCAGGTGATATATGTTATAACTTACCTAATATCTCAGGTGATATATGTTATAACTTACCTAATATCTAAAGTAATATATATTATAACCTACCTAATATCTAAAGTAATACATGTTATAACCTACCTTATATCTAAAGTAATACATGTTATCACTTACCTTTTATAGATAATCATTAGGGCCCCGTATCAGAGATACGGGTGCCCTATAGTAATCACTCTGTCTGTCTGTCTGTCCACAAATTTGTTCCTGGCTGATAACTTTGGTATTTATTGACTGATGTACATGGTAAAAGGTCAAGGTCATTAGGCTCAAAGGTCAAGGTCAAATTTTACATCTTTTCACTGGTGAACATTTCGCTATGACATTATGTAGCAAAGTTGTTCGGAATTAAACAAAGAGACACACTGAGATAAGAAGTAGAGGTCAAAGGTCAAGGTCATTATATTCAAAGGTCAAGTTCAAATTTGGCATCTTTTCACTGATGAACATTTTGTTATGACATGATGAAGCAAAGTTGATCAGAATTAAACAAGGAGTCAATTGACTAAAGCTCAAGGTCAATGGGTCAAAGGTCAAGGTTAAATTTTGTATCTTTTCACTGGTGAACATTTTGCTATGACACTTTGAAGCAATGTAGCTCAGAATTAAACAAGGAGTCAATTGATCAAAGGTCAAGGTCACTGGGTCAATGGTGAAGGTTAAATTTGTACCTTTTCCCTGATGAACATTTTGTTATGATATAAAGAAGCAAAGATGGTCGGATTTAAATAATAAGTCAACTGACCAAAGATCAGGGTCACTGGGTTAATGGTCAAGGTCATTTGGGTCCAAAGGTCAAAGACAAAGTGCATCTCTGACTTTGACCCTGGCTCTTGATGGAGGAGGTATGTAAGGTAAAATAAAACAAATCAAAGCTAACAAATGAGTATTGCACCGGTATTTACATTTCTGTTAGCCCAGCAAATATGGAGGTGGAAGGAAACATCTTAGTACATCTAAAATGTATATTTTGCTTCCTTGCGATTCTTTTTGAAGTCCAAATATCAAACGTCAAGCTCAGCTATATGGGCAGATTGCTTCTTGATGATTATGGGGGATATATTGCCACAAGACGGGGCCCTTACTGACCTGTCAGTGTTCTAGTTCTGTTATGTTTACCTCTGTCTTGTGGTACCACTGTATAACCTTACCAACTTCTGATGACAATTGAAATGCCATGTCCAACAAGTTGAAGTCATCATTATTATGTTGTCATAATTGTTACGTTGGATATCACTAACCTAAATTTAATAAGCACATTCTAATTTCTAATATGTTGAAATGCTCTGAAAATGCTAAATATAAGCAGGTCAATAATCCTGATACACCATCACACATTATCATATTTGCCTGCAAAGCTGTGTCATTCCTGTAGACTGTAAACGCCATATCAATCTAGTTCCTGTAAACTGTAAACGCCATATCAATCTAGTTCATGCTTAAGATTTTACCTAACACTTGAGTGTGATGGCTACTTTATTGTATTAAGTAAATATGATTCACACTTTGTAAGTTGGCTCATGATTTGGTCGTTCAATTTAGGCAAGTTCAGTACAGTAAGGGCGGCCATTACGTGGTATAATTAAACTTTCTGGTTCAACAACATTATACAAGTCTATTTCTGAACACACCCAGCCAGCCATTGGCTCTCAGCATTAGGTTCCCTTAGAATTAGAGAAAAAAACAAAAAGAGATAAAATTATGCAATTATAAAACATTTGTACAAGAAACAAAGTCCTTTTTTTTCCAATCAAAATGTGCAAGTACTTGGTTCTTAACAGGGAAGATATTTCCCAATGTCATCAGAATTGTAGATGAAATGGGTAGGGAGCAAAGGGAGTGTAGATTTGGGGGGGGGGGGGGGGGTAGTGATACAGGTACAGCTAAGTACGTCTGTATAGGAGGGTCACAACCCAACTACTCTCAACTCCATCATCTCTGCGTTTCCAAACAGTACAGAAAAGACTATTGGCAGGGGTCTTGAATTACAGATTACCTGTTTACGAAAAATTAGTTCTACATTTAGGTTGATGTCGTAATCTAAGTTAGAAAACCTGGGATATTAAAGACAACGTTATCTTATCTGAAATTAAACATTTGAAGAATTTCCAAAGTTTTCCTGTTCCCATAAAGACTGTTAATGCACACAGGATATTGAAGAGAGATGTTCTCCTCAGTATTAGAGAGTTCGCAATTACCTCCACATTGGAGAGTTCTTGGTACACATTACTGTACTGCTACGGTACACTAGCACACTCAAGAAACTTCTATGTTACGGTAAATCGGAGTAAATCATGATGATAGGCGTTAGTGCTGCAGAATTATATTTCATGACCAAGTTTTGAAAGGAAGTAGATTTATTGAAATTGACAATTGTAAACATTTTTAAAGGAAATCCCTTTTACATTAACCAGATAAATGCTCTAATATTGTTAAATTATTTCAAATTTAACACTTTCAAACTACAGGTACATTTTCACAACTTCTTTTAAAAGTCAGAATTTTCAGCTTTCAGACCGCAAAACATTCTCCAAATTGTTTCTTGTTTAAGCTTTTGCTGTAATTAAAATTTTTGAAATATTCAGGATTGTCAGAATTCAAGTAAAAGTTTCGTCCAAATTAAATTCTTTGAAATATATCTGAAGAAACATATATAGCAACATTGACTTATATGTCATTACCTTTTAGTTATCAATATACAGATAATAAACTTTCCTGCAGAACATGTCAATTGGTTTATCAAAAGTTGACTTCATTACATCAGCAGAAAGTCAGCTGATGTTGAATGTAGATTATTTTATTGTTATGACTGAACACCAGATGAACCTAAAAACCTAACTCCTTTGGAAACGAATTTCATTACCAGAGGAAAGACGAATCTGTTGATAGGAATCTATTTATTTATTTTTTTATAAGATTTTCTCCCACAAGTTTACATGTCAATCAACTGGAATAAAGTTTTGTAGCAGGCCGTTTCCATCAAGATTCGGATAATAAATCGAGGCACTGTAACTTAGCCATTTTTATCCATTCTGATTTTATTTTTGCTTCTGTGAGCCACTCTTTTGGGCTGTTTTTCTGATTACGTGTGTTGTTTATGGAGTAGAAGTGTGACCAATATCATGTAAGCTTCTTGTGTTTATTTATATCTTCTTTGATGTTTTTATTCCTTTTTCACTTTCATCCCTATCTGAATACTCTGTAGAATGTCTGTGATATGATATGTTCTGATCAATAGATATAGCTGTGGTAATTATTTAGGTGAGTTTACAACTGGACTTCAATTTCAGTAAAACGAAAGAAAAAAAAGTATTTGCCTTTACTTTTTAATAACATGAACATTCAATTTAAAATTATTGTATTAAGTGAGCTTGTATTTTACTAAAGAATATATTTAAATTTAGAGCATTGATTTCATAGTAAGAAAATGTTTTCTAAGAATTGTAATAAAATCAGTCTGCTTAATGTGATAGACTTCATACAATTATGTAAGTACAATAAAACAGGTTTATAATGAACCCCAGTGTACCTTAGTAATAAATAAGTATGACAAACTCCAGGGTACTTTAAGTAAGACATATCTTTGATGACCTGAGGGTACCTTAGTAAGACAAATTTATGAAAAACCAAAGGGTACATAGAGTTAGATAAAAAGTAAGACATATTTATGACAAACCCCACAGACTACCTCAGTAAGACATATTCATGACAAACCTCAGGTACTGAAGTAAGACATATTTATGACAAACCTCTGGGTACCTAAGTAAAACATGTTTATGACAAACCTCAGGGTACCACAGTAAGACATCTTTATGACAAACCCCAGGGTACCTAGGTAAGACATAATTATGACAAACCTCAGTAAGACATATTTATGACAAACCTCAGGGTACCTAATTAGTAAGACATATTTATGACAAACCCCAGGGTACCTAAGTAAGACAAATTTATGAATGACCCAAGGGTACCTTAATAAGACATATTTATGACAAACCCCAGGGTACCTAAGTAAGACAAATTTATGAATAACCCAAGGGTACCTTAGTAAGACATATTTATAACAAACCCCAGGGTACCTCAGTAAGACAGCTTTATAACAAACCCAAGGGTACCTCAGTAAGACATATGTATGACAAACTCCAGGGTAGGCTACCTCAGTAAGACATATTTATTACAAACCCCAGGGTACCTTAGTTAGATATATTTACTGAACATGTGTAATTAAAACCTGTTAGTTTTATATCAGATTTCTGGTTATTTGGTGTGTAAATTTCAAAATTTCAACACTGTTTTGATTATCTCAAATATTTAGAAAATATTGTATACCAATTCATACATTTTATTCATGTGATGTAAATATTTTGTATATTTGTTACATGTGCTCTTTTCAGGAGGAAATCTATATCAGGAAATTGGAAAGCAAACACTGGATCAGCAATGTTAGAACAAATCGCAATGAATGACAGGTAACAAATTACCGCTCTCAGTCATGAAAATAAATCTTTTTTATAAACAAAATGGCATGTCAAGGAAGTAAAATAATATATTGATGACCATTATATGTCTAGGCAGCAATTGAATCTATTATGTCATCAGGTACAATTTTAAATCCCTTCTCCAAAGGTCAACATGGCCAGTGCAGAGGTCAACATGGCCAGTGCAAAGGTCAACATGGCCAAACCCAGACCAAAAATCAACATGACCAGTGCAAAGGTCAACATGGCCTGTCAAAAACTCAACATGGCCAGTGCAAAGGTCAACAGGGCCAAACCAAAGGTCAGCATGGCCTGTTCAAAAGTCAACATGGCCAGACCAAAGGTCAACATGGCCTGTAAAAAGGTCAACATGGCCTGTCCGAAGGTCAACATGCCCAGTGCAAAGGTCAACATGGCCAGTCAAAAGTTCAACATTGCCTTTCCAAAGGTCAACATGACCCCAACATGACCCGCCCCAAAAGTCAACATGGCCAGTCCAAAGGTCAACATGACTGGGTTAGATGTACGATACAGTCACTCCATATCTTTCGATTTCTCCTGAAGAATTTAACAAATCTTCATAAAAATATTTATATTTATCACAACTACAAATGCCTTCATAGTTTAAAGCATTAAGTCATTCCGGAGGCTCTTTCCAATAATGTTGCATACTATATGGGGTAAGGAAGTGTTTTTGTAGAACAATATTTAACAATTTTAGAAAGACAATTTACAAACTAAGCTATCTGTGTACTTGAACCTGCCCAGGTAGCTAGGCCACCAATATTCATTTTAACGAGTGGTGATGATTTTGGTTTAATGAAGAATTGTTTTGTTCTAGGTTTAAGTTATGGGTGGATGAGTGCAGTCTGATGTTCGGTGGACTAGACGTACTCGCTGTGGAGGCTGTACAAGGCAAGGATGGAAAGGAGTATATTATTGAGGTGAGTACTGTGAGAAGCGGTACTGCTATTGCATAGCAGGATTACTTGTGTGTTGTGTGCTACTGTTCCCTATGGTATGTTACATTATGTATTGGGTTGAGTATCATTGGGTATATGTGTGTACCATGATTAAGAAGATGATAAAGTCAGAATCTGATGAAAAAAGTACCATTGGCTATTGTATAGGAAAGGCAAATGTCCTCTAGGGCTGTCAGGAGTCTGCGGTAGACCACACAGTGTCCTCTAGGGTTGTCAGGAGTCTGTTGTAGACCACACAATGTCCTCTAGGGTTGTCAGGAGTCTGTCTAGACCACACAATGTCCTCTAGGGCTGTCAGGAGTCTGCGGTAGACCACACAGTGTCCTCTAGGGTTGTCAGGAGTCAGGTGTAGACCACACAATGTGCTCTAGGGCTGTCAGGAGTCTGTTGTAGACCACACAGTGTCCTCTAGGGTTGTCAGGAGTCAGGTGTAGACCACACAATGTCCTCTAGGGCTGTCAGGAGTCTGTTGTAGACCAAACAATGTCCTCTAGGGTTATCAGGAGTCTGTCTAAATAACACAATGTCCTCTAGTGTTGTGAGGAGTCTGTTGTAGCCCACAAAATGTCCTCTAGGTCTGTCAGGAGTCTGTTGTGGACCACCCAATGTCCCCTAGGGCTGTCAGGAGTCTGCCGAAGACCACACAATGTCCTCGAGGGCTGTCAGGAGTCTTTTGTAGACCATACAATGTCCTCTAGGGTTATCAGGAGTCTGTCTATACCACACAATATCCTCTAGTGTTGTCAGGAGTATGTCTAGACCACACAAAATCCTCTAGGGTTGTCTGGAGTCTGTTGTAGAACACACAGTGACCTCTAGGGGTGTCAGGAGTCTGTTGTGGACCACCCAATGTCCCCTAGGGCTGTCAGGAGTCTGTCTAGACCACACAATGTTCTCTGGGGTTGTCAGGAGTCTGTCTAGACCACACAATATCCTCTAGGGTTGTCAGGAGTCTGTTGTAGACCACACAATGTCCTCTAGGGTTATCAGGAGTCTGTCTAGACCGCACAATGTTCTCTAGTGTTTTCAGGAGTCTGTCTAGACCGCACAATGTTCTCTAGTGTTTTCAGGAGTCTGTCTAGACCGCACAATGTTCTCTAGGGCTGTCAGGAGTCAGGTGTTGACCATACAATGTCCTCTAGGGCTGTCAGGAGCCTGTTGTAGACCACACAATGTCCTCTGGGGTTGTCAGGAGTTTGTCTAGACCACACAATGTTCTCTAGGGGTGGCAGGAGTCTGTCTAGACCACACAATGTTCTCTAGTGTTGTCAGGAGTCTGTCTAGACCACACAATGTCTTCTAGGGCTGTCAGGAGTCTGTCTAGACCACACAATGTCCTCTAGGGCTGTCAGTAGTCTGTTGTAGACCACACAGTGTCCTCTAGGGCTGTCAGTGGTCTGTTGTAGACCATACAATGTCCTCTAGGGCTGTCAGGAGCCTGTTGTAGACCACACAATGTCCTCTAGGGGTGTCAGGAGTCTGTTGTAGACCACACAATGTCCGCTAGGGCTGTCAGGAGTCTGTTGTAGACCACACAGTGTCCTCTAGGTCTGTCAGTAGTCTGTTGTAGACCACACAGTGTCCTCTAGGGCTGTCAGGAGTCTGTTGTAGACCACACAATGTCCTCTAGGGTTGTCAGGAGTCTGTTGTAGACCACACAATGTCCTCTAGGGCAGTCAGGAATCTGTTGTAGACCACACAGTGTCCTCTAGGGCTGTCAGTAGTCTGTTGTAGACCACACAGTGTCCTCTAGGGCTGTCAGTATTCTGTTGTAGACCATACAATGTCCTCTAGGGTTGTCAGGAGTCTGTTGTAGGCCACACAATGTCCTCTAGGGTTGTCAGGAGTCTGTCTAGACCACACAATGTTCTCTAGGGTTGTCAGGAGTCTGTCTAGACCACACAATGTCCTCTAGGGCTGTCAGGAGTCTGTCTAGATCACACAATGTCCTCTAGGGCTGTCAGGAGTCTGCGGTAGACCACACAGTGTCCTCTAGGGTTGTCAGGAGTCTGTTGTAGACCACACAATGTCCTCTAGGGCTCTCAGGAGTCTTCTAGATCACACAATGTCCTCTAGGGCTGTCAGGAGTCTGTTGTAGACCCCACAATGTCCTCTAGGGCTGTCAGGAGTCTGTTGTAGACCACACGATCCAATTGACCACGGTCAGGAATAGAGTGGAAAGAAGATGGATCCCTGACTGACACCAAATATTAAACTTCTAAGATTGACTTAACTCTTCATAGAATGTACTGATCTGGTAATCAATCTTCCATGACATTCCATATACCTCCAGTTTTCTTTGCTTAGTCAGTACTTTATATGATTGTAAATCAGTAGAAAAGATTTCTTAAATTACCATAAAACAACAGTTTTGATAGGGTTAGGATTTGAATATTTGAAGCATCAATTAGTCTTAATTCATAGATAAATACACATCCTCATATCTTTTCACAGAAGCTGAAAGGTCAGAGCCAACAGCTTCATATCTTTTAGCAATTAAAGAACATTTTTCAAAGAGTCATGTTGTAGACAAGGTGTCTTGTTTCGTTGTAAGAAACAAATTTCGTGTTTAAATTCATTGAAATTCCTGCGTAATACATTAAAGGAAATGATGTGCTTATCATTTCTGTGGGTAACCAAGGACCACAATCCAGGAACTGGCTTTGTCCAAGATTCCTCTGGTCAAATTGTTATCCTATCAAAACATAACGGGAATATTTACACACCACCGGATATCCTTCTTAATGAGGACAAAAATGTAGGTTCTGAGATTGGAAAATCATTATCATCATATCTTATAACAGTACAAACAGACAGAGAGCCAAATGAGAAAGTGTTATTGTTTGATTGGTTGTCAAAGAGTTATAACCTTGTGTAATTCTGAAACATTTCAGGTTCACTTAGAAACAACATTCCTTTCTGTTATCAAAACTTCTTAAATAGACATCGAAATTGTGAAAGGTTGCATGCATACCCTAGTGGCTGAACTTGGCTGGTGTGTAAAAGTGCTTCACAGGACAGTTAATTCATAAGGTGACTGTATAAAGGGATTAATTATCACACGGGATGATAGACATAAGTTGTTAGGAACATCTCTAGTGTGGCAGTCAGTCCACTGTTAAACCCGACTAACATCAGTCCACTGTTAAACCTGACTAACATCAGTCCACTGTTAAACCAACAAATCAGTCCACTGTTAAACCTGACTAACATCAGTCCACTGTTGAACCCGACTAACATCAGTCCACTGTTAAACCAACACATCAGTTCACTGTTGAACCCGACTAACATCAGTTCACTGTTGAACCCGACTAACATCAGTCCACTGTTAAACCCAACTAACATCAGTCCACTGTTAAACCTGACTAACATCAGTCCACTGTTAAACCCGACTAACATCAGTCCACTGTTAAACCTGACTAACATCAGTCCACTGTTAAACC